CACAGCACGAAATGCAGGAGTTGTGACACCTAGAGTCCTCTGCACGTATGTGCTTGTGGGTCAAGCATGCATGACCACCCTACACAGATCTTCTGGCCTTCATGCTCTAATTGCAGATTTCTTGCCTCCATTTCACTTGCCCAAGATTGGATTCAACAGTTTGGATTCAGTATCTACTTCAACTTCAGCCATCTATGGGACTGGCTCAGGTTTTTCATCCATGGTACTTCACCCAAATCAATCATAAAAATTGGTAAGAAGGAGTTCTGGGCATTCCAGTTTTATTCCCAATAAAAAGTCCTTTTTCCCTGCAGTATTTGAATGAGTATGAGAAATTGGCATTTGCCTGCTTTCTTGGCTTTTCAGCTCACTTGGTGAATTTGAATTTTTGTACATTCAGCTTGACTGCTCTGTTGGAGAAGTCAATGGAGATTCATGGGACTATCCTCCCCAATAAAGATGTCTTCTTGGAATCAAAGTGATTCTTCCCAGGGCTTGTAACATCTGATGGGTGGCGAGTACTTGCCACATATTGGAGTCACAGTTCCCTTTGGAAATCTGTTGAAAGTTATGAACTCTCTCTCAGAAAAATGCTCAGATACATAAAACTTTACACACAATCAATCCTCAGTACTCATGGCCCCCTTTTGGAAACCTGTCTCTGGGCCCAGGTTTTAAAAATCTCCAACTTAAGTAAGACAAATAGAAAAATAGCCCAAGGCAATATTATGATCAGGAGATAAAATTGAATGGTCTGTATGTGACATATAAACTGAATGTGAGAAGGACTTCCAGGAAAGTGGTAGACTCTGCAAATAGGATTAAAAAGTAGGATCAATCGAGGAGTTGTGTGATCCAATGGACATGCCCCAGATCTTTGACTATCAAGGGCTCCAAGAAATGGCTCTCTTGGTACTTGCTTCCTACCCAAACGAAAATTACACATTTGGTGTCTCAACAGGCATCCAGTAAACACTTATTTTGAGATGAATTGAAACTTGAATTCTCCATATGGGCACCATTTCTTTGTTGCTATAGAAAGCCTTACCACCCGTGTGGCAATCATCTGGTTTGGTGAGAAACAGACCATGAAGCCAGTGAATCAACTTAAGGATAGATGTGGAGTTTTATTTGTAAAATGACTCAAAAGCTTCCAAAGTTGTGGAATACAAGAAATCTGAGTTGTGGATAGAAGAAAATTTGAAAAACCTAAAACAATGGGAAACAGTCTTGTCTGTAACAGCAAATATAAGTTTAAAGTATAATTTAACAATACCATCAATTTAAAACCTAGAATTACAACATTCTTAATTTTTTTCCTTCGGCAAATATTCAGAGGGAGCCTGCTGTATTCTAGATATGTTGTAAATCCTGCAGATCTAGACCTTTGCAAAAGTGAGCATGACAGATCTAGACCCTGTCCTTATAGAACTTAATCTAGAAGACTGCAGAGACCACCACCCTGGTCATTCTGTAGATGAAGAGAGCAAGGCCCAATAAGAGGGGAAATGATCTGTCCAGGATCACACAGCGAATTAGGGACTGAATTATGACCAGAGCCCAGGGCTTCTGACGTTCCAAGAGCACAATCATATAAGAATTTGACCTGAAATTGAGGGGATTGTAAAATTTTACAATCAAACATGTATTGAGTTTTCTACTATATTCTGTACCAGTCCTTGGTTAAGGGCCAGATATACTGAAATATATAATTAACAGTTTCACCTTCTAAGATATGGTGGCTAATATAAATTTGCTTGTAAAAGCCAATGATTTTAGTAGGGTGGCTTTTTATATTGACAAGATGCAAACAAACGAGCTTAATTTCGGGGATCACAGTCAATTCTTGGAAAAATAGCAAAAAAGGAAAACAAAAGAGGGAGGAGACAATGGCAGCAATAATAATGTCGAGCAGAAATTGAGTCATGTTTTGGTGGGGGAAGTATTTTACTCAGAGGAGATCGAGTTCTCCTCTGTTACCTCATAAACCACACTGGCAAAAGAGTACCTACAGCCCTGAGAACCCCCACATTTGCACAGCTTGGTCCTCACTGGAAGAGGAGGTGATGGAGATAGCATCTGAGGGGGATAGCATCTGAGTGCAGCTACCTGAGGGGGGAAGAACCCCTGGCCATAAATACTTGGGTGAGATAGAATTTCTAACACACTCTGCGCCCGGGGCATGCAGGTGGGCCTTTGAAATCCTTCCTGTGCTTTGGCAGCAGTGTGGTGCCTCTCTGGCACCTTTATTGATGTATCCATTAGAAAGTGACATGATTTGCTTACTAAGTTTCTGTTTAATTTGCATCCTAATGTTCTATCATTAGGATATAAGTAGAAGCAAAGGGAACTGAGCAATGTAGAAATTCCCTCTGGGGATCTGGTCACTCAGCCTCATGAACTGAGAGGGCTGCAGCCTGCAGAAGCAGGTACCCGAGCAGATCCACCCCATGGAACCCACTGCCGCATTGGATGGGAAAGCCTGAGGTGTGGGAACATGGCCTTCATGGCATGTGTTCCATCTGAATCCAGTCAGTGCTCACTGAGGTTGGTTCTCAGTATCTCCAGGAGGTCCTTGGTGCTTCAGGTTTGGCATTTTTCCTCCCTGGGGTTTGGATCAGCTGAGGTTGGCGTCACAGCTATTGCCTCCTGGCATATGTGTACTGCTTCAGAATCTTCTGTCTTGGGCTTGGCGCCTTAGGAGTGGAATCTTATAAGGAACACCTGGGAGCCAGACATTCCTTAGTTTCCTTAAATCCTGCCATGAGTTAGATAACATGTCTGAATTTCGGGGAGCTTTTATCTGGAGTATGGGTGAATTGTTAATTTGAAAATTGTTGAGAGCCCTAAATGAGATAATATACTTACAGTGTCTGACACAGTGCGTGAGTCAGCAAGTGCCTAAAAACAACACAGTTCCATTCTTTTCTGTGAGTGCCTTGTTTGGTTTCTGAAGTTCTCCAACTCCCAAATGAAGGTTCTGTGGGGACCAAGCACCAGATTCCTGAGTATCCAAACTGCATTTTTCTCTGGCCCACTCTCTAGAATGAAATTTGCCCAGATTGGCTGCTGCTTGCAAATGGGCAAAAGTATTAAATGATTTGTTCAGGAAAAAATTCTGTTCAGGAAAGAATGTGATCCAGCCCTCCTCTTCCCTCTAGCCAGAGCTGAGAGCCCCAGCTGTGTGTACATAACACGAGGGCTGTGAGCACACTAGAGAGCAGCTAGTCCAACCTTCTCAGTTTTAAGATGAAGAAATCAAGGGTGAGGATGTACCCAAAGCTGTAGAGCCACTTAGTTGCAGAATTAAAGAGAAGAACTAATGTCTCCTGTTTTTGTGGAGATTTCATCATCTTCAAAGTACTTTCATGTGTTTTATTTTATTCGATCCTCTCTACAATTTTGAGAAGAAGACAAGGTATTAGCATCCCCATTTTACAGATGAGCAAACTGAGATGCAAAGAGGAAACAGTTCAAAGTCTCAAACCCAGGTTTCTGAATTCTGAGTCTAGTTATCTTTTCTAGGCCCCACTCAGGTGCCAGTACTCTTCTGATTAGTTCTGAAAACCATGTCCATGGCCCAAAGCTGGGATACCTTCTGTATCACTGGTCTGCTCTTTGTCAGGGAGGAAATATTCACGTCACTTTTGTCTGAGAGTTCCAGACAGTCTACCAGAAATACTTAAGTTTGAATGCTTCCTGTTGGAACCCTGGCTTCCCCTTCCCTCCTAGGACCCTCTGTAACTCTCCTCACTGTGCTGCTGAGAGGCCTCGATGTCTGAAATTTGAGGGCTTCACACTTAATCTGCCCCTACTGGTGTGTGTGTATGCTGGCTGGGGAGAAAGCCTTCGAGGACTGGTGGAAAAGCTGCTGCTAGCTGTGCTCACCAGTTCAGGGACCATGGAGTTTCTTGTCTTGTTTTCCTGAAGACCAAAATTGGGCCCAAGGGAGAAACTGCAGCAAAGTGAATTTGGGCAGATGTCTAAGAAGTCCCACAGGGGCACTTGGGTGGCTCAGTCGGTTGGGCATCTGCCTTTGCCTTGGGCCATGATCCCAGGGTCCTGAGATCAAGCCTCTCAGTGGGGGGTCTGCTGCTTCTTCTCCCTCTGCCCCTCTTCCCATGCTATGTCTCTCACTGTCTCTCTGTCTCTCGAGATGAATAAATAAAATCTCAAAAAAAAAAAAAAAGAACTCCCACAAGCAGAGCTGTTCAACCATGGAATTAGCTTTCTGGCCACAGGAGGAAGAAGAGCAGAAACAGAGTCATTTGCTATAAGTCCTGTAGACTAGATTCCTTCATCAGGAGTAGAGTTTGGTCTAGAATTTGAAATCTAAAGTCCTTCAGACTTCCAGGTTTGTGTCATTGCATTGTGATCATCTGTTCTTTCTGCCTGCCCATTTTCGTTTATCCTTCTTTTCTGGACCTCCTTCTACCATCAGCCAGTGTGGTTTGCAACCTTGTGGGCTCATGCTGGACTCCTCTCTTGCTCCAGGATAGATATATGTTCTCATTCTGGCCACTGTAACTAATCCAAGGAGGGGCATGACTCAAGTTCGTGTGATGAGAGAAGTCTCAGAATTTTGGTGGTTCCATTAGGAATAGAAGAGCTCTCTTCTGGCCAGACTTGCCGAGCCAAAAGATGTAGACCTGAGACTTTCAGGGGCCATCTTGCCCTCTTGAGAGAGAAGCCTGAAGAGGAAGCAGAGCAGAGAGATGGTGACTTGCATGTTTGTTGGCAGTGATTGGGAACCTGAACTGAGCCATACCCAAGGCTAGACACCCCCCCCCCGCGCCCCCACCGGACTTTGAGCCAGGGGATTCCTACTTTACTCAGGCTGGTTTGAATTGGACATGACTCAGTAATTCATTAAGACCTAAAATCCATCCCAGAGACCCAACCTCCCTAACTTTTTTGAATAAACACCTTCTAGTGCCTTTTTCCAAGGAGATTAGGGCTAGTTTCATTTATACTACTTACATTAAGTGTTTAAAAGTGTTAGCTTTGCGCAGTGGCAGTATCATAGCCAATGAGGTTTATCCAAGGTGCAGTTATTGCTAAGTGTTTAAAAGTGTTGTTTTATGTGGTTTGTTTTGTTAGCATTTTGAATTTTTAGGCAATTTTTGGCATCACAGTGCTGTTATAAATTAAGGTTCTGGTTTGCAGTTTTCATTCATATGACATCCATAATAGAGTTTTCATATTTTGGGATGTAGGTAATCACACTTTCCCACCTAGAAGACTAAGGTGATATATATGTTTACCTTTGGAAAGTACGTAGAGAATTTTGCTATGGCAAGTATTCCAAGTCTTTTTCATCTTGATCACTAATACAAGATTTATGTTTGCACTCACAGAATATGACAAGCTAATAAATTAGACTTGCTGACAACCCTTCAATAAAGGAACTATTTTTCTACAGTTAACAGTCCTTTTTAGATCTTAATAAGCTTACTTAGTGTTAATCATCTTGTCATTGGCAAAACTGTCTCCTAAAGAATAGAAACTCTAATGAAGATTACCCATATTAAAAATGCTTTTCTTCTTAGGCATAATTCTTTAAGTGAAACACATACACGAAATCAACATACTATACAGGCAGTGCTTACTTTTTATGGCAGCAAAGAAGTATAAAATTAACTGAGCAAGTCATTCTTAATAACCATGAGAAAAAATTACAATTGTTTTTGTGACCTTTAAAAATTTGTGTCAAAACAGTAAAATCTGTCTTACTGTTGCTTGCAAATGTATAGAGTTTAAAAATGTAAAACTAATACTTAGTGTATTATAATTTAAAACATTAGAAACATAGGTAATTAAACCGTTTCCTTGCAAAAAACTGATCAAAAGTATTTAAAACAGTGCTTGCCTTCTTTTTATCATATACCTTATGATGTGGAGCAAACATCTTTTCTATGCATTGGTGAATTGTTAAACTTCTTTCTGAGTTTGGGTCAGCTTCCAGCATTTTCTCCTTCGTACTTTTAATGATATAAAATATCTCCAAGAGTTCCTTATGTGTGAATTTTTGTTGGTGTCACTTCCTCTGGGACTTCATCTTTTTCATCATAAACAAAATGGAAGGGGGGTGTCTGTCGAAATCCTGCCTATAAATGAAGTCTAGGACTCTGCCAGCATTGAATAAATAGACCTACTTAAGCTCCATAGACAGTCATTTTGAAACCTAGCATCAGGATCCAGCTCAGTGTTAGAAATTATAGTGCTTTCCTGCATTTTCAGTATTTCTTATTTAGATCATGTCTTATTTTATTGTATGCTCACATGTTCCTCATTATTCTCTGAGTTAGGCTTGGCAGAAACAATTATCCCCACTTTAGAAATAAAGCAAATGAAGGCCCAAATAATGAAATTGTGGCAGCAATTAACAGGATGTTAACCAGCCCTATTTTCTCTTCTTGGGCTCAGAGCTAAACTACATTTCCCAGCCCCTTATAAGTAAGTAGAGCCATGTGACTAGTTCTTACCAAATGAATGTGAGAGAAGGAATGTGTCATTTATGGGCCAGGACAGTTAAGTGGGGGTGAGGCTTCTGCATTCATTCCTTCCTTCCCCTCCTACAGTGACCTTGGAGACCACCTGTGAGGATGGTGGAACCACAGTGGAAAGAGCCTGGGTCTCCGCCTGGGTCACTTTTTGGAGGAAATCCATCCAACCTACTTTGTACTGTGATATAAGTGACAAATCCTCGTTTGTCATGTTAAGCCCCTGAGATGGTAGCTAGAGCCTTTTGTCATGAGGTCTACCCTGACTAATTCAGAAGTAGTTAAGTGATCTGTTCAAAGTCACACAGCTTGTCAGTAACAAAGGCAGATCATGAAAACAAGCCTCTCAAATCCTGTGGTATGTATAAAGGCCTGACTGTTCTAGTGGTCTAAGGAGTTGACAGATCTTGTGAAGAGGTGGTTGTAAGTTAGCAAAATAAATACAGGCCCTGCTTTTCTAAACCTTCCCATCTAGAGCTCCTCTTGGTGACTATTCTTGGTAGGTGGTGAATGCATCCTTTGTATTTGGTCCACATCAAATACATCAAGAGATTACAACTATAACTGTATTGTAAATTAGCAAAGATACTTAGGGTCTGTTGGATTTCCTCTGTCCATCGGAAGAAAGTGAAGTGTTTTTTTTTTTTAACCAGAAAATGCAATTCAAAGACCAACAAATGAGAGTAAACTTTGTCATTGTAGCCATCCTGTCTTCAAGATCTTCAAGTCTTCAAGATCACATCTCAAGGCTGCTTTTAGGAAGCACTTCTATGTGGATCTTGTTACATTTCATAGGGATGAGGCATGGGTTCTCTATCCTTTAGGACAGTAGAGGAAGGAAAGGAAAAATGCCATTTCAGAAAGGAAGGATCTGGTCATAATGATACTGCCCTTCGTTATTTTTATTTTTCAAAATCAGCTCTTGGTTTACACTGGAACTTATAACAATATGGAATTGGGAGAACTGATTTCAACCAGGATATTAACTTCTCACTGAAAAAAAATTAGAAAAAAAAAGAAAAAAATTAGAAATTTGGAGAAGCTACATTATTTAACATGACACCAATGGCATTAAATAAATTATCGGTTCAGTGTAGTCAGAAGTAGCTTTGGAAAAATATTTATCCTAGTCTTGTGAAGTCTATGGCAGGCTGCACAATGGGAAAGCTGGTCTTTGAAAAGATCATATTTATTGCTTGGCACTTGACTTGCTCACAATCAGCATGATCCAGCATAAGACAGGGCACACACAATCTCAAGTGGTTCACCCTCTCTTTGAAGTGTTAACAGGTCAATAACAATTGTTTGAAAAGTCTAAAGGTGTTTTCCCAAATGCCATTTGTCAATGTTACAGAGTTCTTCTCCCCACTCCCCTGCTAACTCTCCTTTTTCATAATTTCTACCCCAGAGGCAAACTTGTTGGTCATCAATAGTAACATTTTAAAGAGTTGTCAAAAGCACTTTCAGAAGCATTAATTCTAAGTTTGCTAAGTAAGCAATCAACGTTTAACCACTCTCTTCAACCACTTTTTCCCCTTGTTTAAAAAATATGTACTATATATTGAATACTTACATATATTTGTATCAACAACACACAACAACAGTGGAGTGAACACCCATTTATAAACATTACTAGTATCCCCCGAAGTCCCTACTGCCATCCACCTTCCTCCCCACATAAGAAACCTTTATCCTAAATTGGTTTTTATTATTCCCTATGGATGTAGCCCTGAATTTTATATGTATTTATCCCTAAATAATATAATTATATAGTTTGAATTTGCACTTTTTTGCATTTAGTATCAATGTAATTATATTGTATATATTCATTTGCTTCCTCTCCTCCACTATGTTATTTTATGTACCTGAGATTCAACCTATGGATGCATGTAGCTCCTATATTGGTTTGAACTGTATGAATTTGCCACAATTTATTTATCCGTTACTATTGATGTATAATTGGGTAGTCTCTGTTCTTTCTTAAAGCAGTATAGCTATAAACTCTGCTGTGTGCATCTCACTCTACACACATGCAAGAGGTGCCCTGGAGCAGTAGATCTTATACTTCAGTGTGTTTTGCATTGACTGGAGCACCTACAAAAATCCCCAGACTTGATCGCCAAAGGATTCTGACAAAAAATCCTGAGGTGGAGTCCAGGCTTCTGCATCTTTTCAATCTCGCCATTGATTCTGAGACACGTGGTCCACTGACTTTCCCTTTGAGAACCACTGCTTGATGTACATACCTAGAGATAGCTGTATTGTAGAGTAGGCATATGTGTAACTACTTTGAAATTCAAAATTAGCTTCTAAAATGGTTATGCCTCTGATACTCCACCAAAAAAAGTGTAACAGTTTTCACTGTTTCACATCCTTGCCAGCATCTCAGCATTGTTCATGTTTGCTAATCCTGTGGGGTTTCATTGTGGTTTTCATTTATTTCTAATTATTCATGAGATTAGGCATCTATTCATATTGTCTTACTTGACATCCTTGTTTCTTCTTTTCCTAAGTACTGTCCAAAACTTTTTCCTCGTTTTCTGTTGAGTTATCCTTTTCTTATTGATTTATAGGACAGATTTCTCCTCTTAGTCAGAAATGTGATGGAAGAAGGCAGAAGAGATGAGATATGAGGAAGACTCCACCACCATTGCTGGCTTTGAAGATGAAGGGGCCCACAATCCAAAGAACGTAGAGTGACTGGCCTTTCGAAGCTGAGAACAACTCTAGCCCAACAGCCAGCAAAGAAATGGGAACCTCACTCCTGTAATTGCATGGAACTATATGCTGCCAATAACAAGCATGAGCCAGGGATCACATTCTCCCCGAGAGCTTCATAATAAGAATAGCAATCCTGCCACCTTGGTTTTAGCCTGGTAAGACCCATATAGACTTCTGACCTATAAAACTGTAAGATAATAAATTGTGTTTGGTGTAAGCTGCTAAGTTTGTGTTAATTTGTTATGGCAGCAATAGGAAACTAATACAAAAAGAATGTGAGCTTTCCAGTTGAGTGCAGTGTTTCATATTTATCCACCAGATGAAGTTTCTTAATTATGTTTAGATCTACTATACTCTTACTAATTATCTGTCTTATGAATAATTGAGAAAGATACAGGTGGATTTTTCTCAGTTTCTCTTTGTAGCTCTGTCAATTTTTACTTTATGTGTTTGAAAGCCATTTTATTAAGAATATAGTTATTAAAATTGTTGTAGTTAGTAACTTCCATATTTTAATCCACCCAGAAAATCTTTGTAATTTAACTGGACAGTTTAGTCTTTTAAATTTATCCAGATTTGTGAGATGTTTGAGTTCATTTATTGCTCCCTCATTTTGTGTTTTTCTTTGTCCTTCTTATTGTGTTTATCTTTTTTCTCCTTTCCTGCCTTTCTTTCAGGTTTGATTGTATTTGTTTTTCCCTAATTCTCTTTTCCCTTTCTCCAAAGTTGGGAGTTTTATACTTGCTATGTTTTTACTGACTTCCTTAAACATATAAGTAATTAATGTTTTTAAATAAAAAGTAAGTACATTTATACTTTATAGAGTATGTTTTCACCTACTTTTACCTATATATTTATCATTTTCTGTGCTCACATTTTTTCCTGGAACATCCAACTTTCATTTGTGTTCATTTTTCC